ATATTGTCAATATAGTACTTAAAATAGGCCGGTACGGCAAGGGTTAAATTAAAAGAAAAAATATAAAAAATAAAAATAAAAAAATAAATAAAAAAAAAATAAAAAAAAAAATAAATAAATAAATAAATAAAAAAGAGAAAAATAAACAAATAAGTAAAACAATCACCAAATCAACAAACAATTCCATCAACAGTAAACAACAACGACAACTACAGATAGCCCCAATGAACAAAACAACCAACACAATGACGAGAAACAAACACAAAGACAACACATGCCTAAGGACACTTATTTATATATAACCACATGGATATTTGAATTGACTTATTTAGATAGTTGATATTCATCACGTGAATCACAACAACATCAATCAATTCAAAACAAACATTTTCATCATCATTATTACCTGTAACTGATGATAAATTTTATCAATTTGGTTATATTAATGAAAAACGTAAATGTCTTGGTTCATCAGTTCCATTTCAATTAAATTGTTCAATTGATGATATTGATTTATTATCAAGTACATTATTAGAAACATCAATAGAAAAATCTATGTAAACAGATAATGATGGTCTTATTGCATTACAAGATTATGATAATGATGATCTTGTTGTTGTACATACAAAACGAATGTTAATTGAAGAACAATTACGTCAAGAAAATCGTCAATTATTAGAAATAAATCGACGTTTAGAACAACAATTATGTGATTTACGTTTAACAACAGAAAAATATCAAATATCAATGCAAGGACAAATAAATGCATATACAAAACAAGCATCACAACAAGGAAATCAAATACATGCATTAAAAACATCAAATAGTTTATTATGTCGTTCGAATGAAATTTGGTGTTTAACTATGACAAATGTGTTTGTATTCCACATGAATAAAATTCTCAATGATCATATTCAACAAAATGTGAAATATTTCTATTATATTATCAAGATCATAGTGAATTTATTATTGATAATTCGCCACTCTCAAATCATCAATCATTATATTTTATAATTATTGTTAAAGAACAACATAAAATAAAATTAATTATAAATCAATATGATTCTCTTAATCAACGTCCTGACGTATAGTCTTTAGAATATGATGGTAGTGAACAACAAAATCAATTACTTCTTTCATCTAATATGTTATTATCAAAACAAACAATACACACGTGAATATCATGTGGCAACAAATATTATACGAAAACATTCAATAAAATATTTCAATATAAATTTCTCGATCTATTATCTGATTTAAATAATATGTTATTTAATATAATATGGTTAACAAGTATATGTCCATATGCCCAAATGCTTTGTAGTGGTCATTATGAAGTCAAATGTTATTCACTTAAATAACAATAAAAAAAAAAGAAAAGAACTATACGACGTTGTTTACAATTATCTCCAGAACTAATTAACATCTTTCTATGACGTTTATTACCATTATTAACATTGAAATCTTCGTCAAATGTTCATCATCATGAATAATCAATATTAACATCTGATCAAGATGATATTAACAAAGATGAATATTATTAAGATAAACGATAAAATTGTTTAGAACTCGATTCATTAACAAGACATTTAATTCATATTAATCAAGACGATCATGATGAACATAATAATAATTATAATAATGATTTTATTCAAACAAACAGCATAAAGTCATCGAAATCTCAATCTCAACAATATTCATCATCATCGTCATCAAGCTTATCTGATTCATCAATATTAATTAAGGAATTTACTAAAATGATGCATTTAAATTCTCAACACCAAATGAAAAAAAGAAAAAAGATAAAGATAAAAAATTTTTAAACGTAAACGATCATTTGTTTCGGCTGAACCAAACATGTATGTGAACAATATGCTCAACTTCATAAACTCGCCGAACATGTTCAACATCCTCAATAGATATTAACTCATCAATGTTATATACTTTCATCAGGTGTGAGGACACACATCTCATACGGGAGAGGAGGACTGTTAGCGGTGACTCATTCTTATTGCTGTCTTTGCCTTCTCTCTATCTCTGTGTTATTGTTATTCTTTTCTTTTTCTCTCTCTCTCTCTCTTCTCTATGGTAGCTTGTTATATATATATGTACGTAATTTCAAGGACATTTTAGAATAAAATAAAGTAAACAAGTATAAGCTCGTGAAACGAGCTAACACACAATTACCTAAAAAATATCATTTTACGGGTGGGTGTGGGTGTGGATGTTGGTTTGAGTCTTAGGTTCACCTACATCTATACTCACACCGACACCCACACTCACATCCACACCCACACCCATCATGTGATATACTGAAAAAAAATGAAACTTATTGAAGTGTGTCAACAATTTGAAGAATCTTTAGAAATTTTTTATCCATTATAATGTTAAAATACGTTTGACCTTATTGAAAATGGTATGATTCTTGACACATTATGGGATTACATTAAGAAAATTGCAATCATGACAAAAATTCGTAAACCATCAAATTTCTTAAAGACAATAGAATATAATCAACCTAATGATTATAAGTATTCTTAACGAAGGCAAATAACACAAATTTTTATGAGACGAACTTATTTTAAAATGATCATTAATTGTTCCTCAACAAAATTGAGCAGATATATAATTCTGATGGGTGGATACCAGGAGTTCTCTTTTCAATGAGGATGCACGTTGGCATAGATATTCTCTTCATCATTAAACCAAAACTCTTGAAATGTCAATCAGTTCGATAGATATTGTTGTCTACTGTGGCTGAAAATTGATAAAAACTTACTTTTCGAAACTTGGTTTTCAGAGAATAAAAATGGTTCAATATCTTGTTTAGTTCAGGTCATTATTTATGTGGATCACTTTGTTTTTAGTAACATGTTGAAAATGGCAATAACTTGAACAAGCATGAAAAGTGTCTCAAATTGATTGAATTAGTGACGATTCAAATTTAAATTGTTAAACAATCATAATCCTTCGCATTATATTCGTTTCAAGACTTTGCTTGTCAGAACTTTGAAACCGGTGAGAATGTCTCTATTGAGTTCGAGTTTTTTTAATGTACCATATTCGATGGCACAAGAGCATTCAATGTTGTATAATTACTATAGCTTATTTCGATTTGTCCTTATTGAGCTTGTAAGAATAATTATTCTTTTCAATCTGAAGGTCATTTTGTCTTTTGTGTCTTCTATTTGTTAGTGCTTTCTTTCGTTCTCACAAACCTTGAAAAAAAAGAGCAATTTGAATGTGAGGATAAGAGATAACGTGACTGTGTTGCACATGTTGATTCAGTTTACCAACAGTTTTTCTTCGACACATTGTATTCAACTTTCAGGTAATTAAAGACATATTTGCTCATCTATAGTTTTTCATAGGTCTTCATTAGAATATTTCATTTTTAAACATGTACAGAGCAAACTCTTATGATTTCATATACGACTGTTTAACTCATTTGATATAAAATTAATTTTTCGAATACGATATTCAAACGAATCGGATGAATTCAATTCATCAACGTAGTTTTTAGTCCGAGAAATAACTTCTACAAGAAAAATTCTCTCTCTCTCTCTTTAAGACGTTATATAACCATTGACAAGCGAAAGACTAGCTTGAGACGTTGTCTCAAATTTTCGCCATCAATATAGATCTGTAGTGAGCTAGTCAAAATTTCTCTATTTTCAATATCTATTTAATAAAAAAGTTGTTTATTTGAGTAATAGCCTCATATTCAATTTTCTGGGTGTTCTCTATCGTTTTCATGAATGAAATTGGTAATTAAAAAAATCGTGTTCATAGAGAACTCTTCTTTACAAAATCTGATTTCTCGTACACAGACAATGAGAAACTCATATCGAGCACATTGTTCATCATGAAAAATTTAGTTCCGAAGATTCAATAATCTAGAAAAAGAAAGTATTTGAGTACTAAAAGAGATCGAAACAATCGATAAACGTATCAATAACAGAGATAAAATTATTTCATACGCAAGTACAAAGATCAGTAGTAAATGTAACAATGAATGTAGAAAAAAATCAAATTGGTTAAAGAATTTAAATATTTAGAGTTTATATTGATGAATAGACTATCCTTCAAATCAACAGTTGAGAAAAGTATAGAAAATATCCAGAGAAGCAAAAATATAACGCAACATTTTCTTTTTTCTTTCTTTCATTCTTTGCTCTTTGTACTCTTGTAATTTCACTACTGCTCATCAATACACCTCTCGTTTTACAACATCTTGTATTTATTCGTTTAGTTTCTCGTTTGATATCTCTACAAACGTGAGCCACAGTACTCAGCGTACAGATATTCATGGCATATTGTGAAACACTTTGCATTCATAATGTAGACTCTAGCTTGCTTAAATATATTCTTTTCTTTTTTTTTTGATCATGTAAGCACTTCCGATTATGACATCTACTAGCATAATAAAAAAAAACCATATCGAACACTGAATATTCATTTTCAAAAAAGAAAAACGAATTCTTTCTCGATTTTCAACTTGAGATAATAATTGAAACAACTAATTTTTATCGATTCAATACTAATATCGAGTGAATGCTATAGTACTTAGGTCAATAAATATGACAGATAGTTTGAAATATCCAGTTTGTTTTCTGACTGTTTATCTATATGTATCAGACATGTTTCCTTCGAACACTGGTCGTTTGATCGCCTGTCCATCACGCGTCTGGACTATCATCAGAATTCAAAAACGAAATAATTCTACGAGAAAATTAACTTCAAGTTATTATCATCATGCATCTCCATTTCGAATGGTTTATAAAACATTGAGTCAGAGCTTCGATGAAACAGCTGACAAATATTCTGATCATGAATGTCTCGTTTTCAAAAGTAAAATCATAGATCTTTATTTGTTTTTCTGCCTCGTTAGTTCTCCACTTGACTAGGTGAACAAAAACGATACACATACAAGACATTCAAAGAAGAAGTTGATAATATAGCAGCCTCGCTTCTCGACTTAGGCTTTCAAAAGAATGATCGTTTTGCTGTTTGGCTTCCAAATACATCCGAAAATGTGACCATTTCTTATGCAGCCTCGAAATTGGGTTTAGTTAAAGTAATTAGAAATTCTTTTTGAATTTTTAATCTATTTTGTATTTCATTATTCTATTTTAATCTAATCATTAGGTGAATATCAATCCAGCTTACGTTGAACGAGAACTAGAATATTGTATCAATAAAGTTGGCTGTAAAGGTATCTTACTTTCACCATCGACTAAATCATTCAATACACTTGAGATTTTTCGCCGATTGGTACCGGAGCTCGGCCAAAGTTTCTCGTCGACTAATGAGCTTTCAGCTAAAACAGTTCCCACTTTAAAACATGTGATTTTAACTGGTACACAAACATCGATGCCAGGTGTTCATTCGTATGAAGACTTAATCAAACGAGGTGGTCAACTATCTCACAAAAGTCTTATTGAAAGACAAGCATCGATTGATCCTGATGCACCCTTTGAAATCTTCTACACTTC